TTTCTTATGAACACTATGCCCCATCCTCTGGTCTGCTGCTTTTTTGGCCAATTTGTATGCCACTTCTCTGAATCTGATGCGATCCTGAATTTTCCTCATTAGCCCTGTCGAGCCTCCTTTCTTGTTTTGTTTCTGTGCCAGATAGGAATAAATAATTCTTGCAGTTTATCCATGCATTGTTTAAATGTTTGCCATTGCCTTTCCACTATCATCCCTTTAAGTTACAATTCCTAATTTTCACAGCCGGCTCACACCATCGTAGTTTCCTTTATTTAGACTCTGGACCCCTAGTGTCAGAATCAATTACATCAAATTTCATCTTAATGAAGAATTCCATCATCTTTGGTCACTCTATCCCCAAAGGGCCTCACACAGCTAGATTGCTAATTATTCCTTTCTCGTTATGCAATATCCAGTTCAGGATGGCCTGTTCGTTAGCTGATTCCTCGACCTATTGATTCAGAAAACCAGGTCTTTGATAGCCCAAGAATTCCTCCTCTGTGGTATTGTTACTGATTTGATTTCTAAACGCACATTAAAGCTATCTACAATTACAGTTGTACCATTATTGCTTGCATGTCTAATATCCTGCTTAATGCCTTCCCCAACACTATCACTACAACTTGGGGTCTTTATACATTGCCCACTATCGTTTTCCATCCCATGGTGTTTCTGAGCTCTACCCGTACAGATTCCACTTCACCAGAGCTAATATTCTTCCTCACTATTGTGATAATTTAGTCTTTAACCTGTAATACAAACACACCTCTTTCTCCTCTTTGTCCTCCATAAAAACTAAATACCCATGGATATTCCATCCCTGGTCACCCTGGTGCTGCATTTCTGTAATCACAACTATATCACACCTATATAAAACAATTTCCATAACTAAAACATCTGCTTTATCGTAAATGCTCTGCACTTTAACATACAGGACCATAAGATTTGTCTTTTTAACATTCTTAGTCCCGTTTACATTATTTTGCACTATGGCTATCTTTGATTCTTGCCCTTGAATTCTCTGCCTGTCACTTTTCTCATTTCCTGTTCTGTCTTTTGTTTTAGCCATCACTTCCCTCTCTTTTGTCTCTGTGTATAAGTTTCCATTTTAATTTAAATTGTCCCCAGCTCCTCACACAAATAGTTCTCCTTAGAACATCAATTCCAATCCTGCCCAGGCACAACTCATCCAGCTTGTACTGATCCCACCACTCCCAGAACAGATCTGTGTCACAGGAATCTGAAGACTTCTCCTTCCATCATCTTTCCAACCATGATTCATCTGATATATCCTGCTACTTCTACTTTGACTAGTGCATGGCATTGGTAATAGTCCGGAGAGCACTACCTTTGGGGTCTTTTTAACTTGCTAACTAAATCCCTATATTGTGCTTTTAGTACCTGATCCCTTTTGTTTTAACTGATGTGATCACGACCATTGATTGTTCACCTTCCCACTTAGAATCACCTGTAGCCGCTCTGAGGCATCCTTGATCCTAGTACCAGCATACCACCATGGACTCCCATTTGTGATCACAGAAAGGTCTGTCTATTCCGTTTATGACTGAATCCCCTATTACAATAGAATTCCTCATTTATTCTTTCAATCCTGTGCGGCAAAGCCAACCAAGATGCAACAAATTTGACTCTTGCTACTTTACTCCGAGATATCATTCCTTCAACGGTATCCAAAGTTGCATATCTGTTTTGCAGAGGAATGGCCACAGAGTTTACTATACTGCTTGCTTAATCCTCTTTCTCTGTCTGGTGGTTATCCATTCCCTCCCTTCCTGTGGAGTCTTAGCCACTGCTCTGTACCCTTAAAGTCAAATAATATTAGTTACTGTATGACCCTTCTTCTCTGATCTCTGCACTATTGTCCTTACAAACTATTAACCCAAATTAAGATACTGCTGCAGGACACTCTTACCAGACTTTTTAAAAAAAATTCTAGACTTTGCAGAAAATACGGTGGAATTTTGACATTCCTCATTAGAGCCTGCATCCATTTGCAACAAAAAACACATTTTCTAAACATGAAAGTAAACTATTTACATACCCATTAAGGCTATGAGGGTACCTTGAAACACATCAGACCCACATTATATTTTGGCAGAAAGACCCTAGATTGCATCTATGCGGCAGCTGCTCCAGCTTTAATGCATCACTCAGCATGTAGTCCCAGACCTTGGAATAATTCAGCCTGCAACACTGGGTCAAGGTCAACTCTTTGTACTGGAAGATCAACAAGTTTCAAGCAGACCAAAGAATGCCTTTCACTGACTTAGTGGTCCTCCAATCGCAGTTGATGTTTGTCTTGGTGTGAGTTCCAAGGAATAGCCTAGAAAGCATCATGGGACAAGCCTCAACAAAATCACTGCATCTGTCTCCTGACCTTTTCTGCTGCAGGATACCCTTTTCAGACTGCTTCATTATGATGGTGCTGCAGGACATTCTTCCCTAAGGGATGTTAAACGAGTCTTCAGAAAAGGGGGAAAAAGGAAAGGAAGTAGGCATTAAACCTATAAAGTTACCATAGTCCTACCAAACCGTTGGGTGATCTTTTATTAGAGAGCGATGCCTGGTGGTTTAACCTGCAGGTCACCACATTTTAGGCTAGGGGAAGAGATTGAGAAGGTGAGTCCTTCATGGTAACCTCAGCTGGTATGGGAATTGAACCCACACTGTTGGCATCGCACTGTATCAATAGTACAAAGAGAACACATTTCCTTAAAATGCACTAAATGAGAAATGGCTCAGGACTGTCATGAAAATTATTTTTTGTAATGTAGGAAAAACAGACTGTTGGAGCTTCTGAGTATCTTATCAAAGAGGAGGTGTTTTCTAATGTTTTGATTCAAGGAGGTAAACCAATAAAGATATTGAGAGATACTGGACCGAGTCAGTTACTGATACTGGCTGATGAAACTACTTGTCTTCAAGAGGGGTTATTAAACGAGAAATAACAATTGGAGATATGCATGGTGGTTTCAGTGAATCTCACTGTACAGTATTGGTTTAAGGAGTAACTTGGTAAATACAGAAATTGTAGTGGGAATAGTGAATAGAAGGAATTCATTTTAATTTGGAAAATGACCTGACAGGATGCTGGCCTCAATAAGGTTTTTGGAACAACCAATGGCAGAAGAGGAAACTGAAATGTTACAAGGGACACGTCCTGCATTTTTCCTGACTATCATGAGAAAAGATCTCAGACCATAGAATTAGACAGGAAGTAAAGGAGCCTATGAATCAGGGAGCTGGTTTGCAAATTAGTCCATCTTCTTTAATAACGATGTGACAAATGGAGTTAATTTCTGAAAACGTATACTGAAAATGCTACTCAGAGACTGAACAGAAATAATAGCTGAATGTTATTATTTGGAAAGCTGTATTAATGAGGAAATGGAAACCACCTCAAGTACCAGCCAATCAGGAATGGGCAGTGGTTCTTTAGGTGGTAGTTCCAGCTGAGTATCATTATGAAATTTTACAACTGGCTCACAGAATTCCTAAGAAAACGTTAGAATTATTAGAACTAAATTATTAAAACTATTTTATTGGCCAGAAAGATGTAGTCAAACTTTGCCAAACATAACGTGGAGATGCCGGTGTTGAAATGGGGTGGACAAGGTCAAAAATCACATGACACCAGGTTATAGTCCAACAGGTTTATTTGAAAACATAAGCTTTCGGAGTTCAGCTCCTTCCTCAGGCATCGTATGAGAGAGAGGGTATAAGATGCAAAAATTATAACCAGAAAGGTAACAACCCTAAAACTGTCCACCTCTTGTTGAATCTTTAGGGAGCACTGGCTGACAGATAACAACAAGAGTGTCAGAGGTTCTGTTCACTCTGAGAGCTGGCTCTGAGGGAGCTGGATCAGTGTCAAGGGATCTCCAAGTGCAAATAAAGGGTTACTTGGTGGCAGGATACCGGTGTCTGTGGAGTTATTTTAGTTACCACACAGTTTCTTGAAGCAATGCCTTTAAGAATAATTATTGACTGGTTTACGAATTACACAATTTACATCTGCTCTTTACCCACACTCTCAAGGAATATTGGAAAGATAGCATCAAACTTTGAAAACCATGATTAGAGCTCATTGCCAAGAATATCATAATGTTTGTGATAAGGGAATTTCTTTGTTATTATTTGCTAGTAGGGATACTCCAAATGAATATACAGGTTTTAGCCCTTTTGAATTAATATGTAGGCACGAGGTAAGGAGACTAAACAGAAGTTAATAAACCAAAGCTCAGAAATACACTTCAGGGAGAAACTGACCAAAGTTGCCCAAAAGCATTTGGAACATGCTGAACAAGCAATAAAAATTAGATCAGATGAAAAGGCCAAAGTTCAAAATGATGTTGCTAGAGCTAAGACGTTGTTATTTATTTCTGTGGAACCATTTAAAGCAAGATTCACTGGACCTTATCCTATCAAAAATAAACTTAATGATGTGCATTATGCAGCGAGTGCACTAGATAAGAGAAAGAATCAATGAGTGTGTCATGTTAATATATTGAAAAGATTTTATGACAGGGATGATTAAGGAAAAGCATACTTACATTACTGAAAGATATAGAGAGTGAAACAAAAATGTCAGAACAATTTGAGAATAAATCAGATATTGAAAATTCAGAAGTTGCCGCTCCAACAACCCAGATTGGAAAACACAGAGATACTTAGAAGATCAGATAGCATCAAACATTATTTTCCAGAAAACAGTTGTGGTGACTTATGAGGCTATTACAGAATTTGTGGGAATATTCCAGAAGATACCTTTTTGACTGTTTATGACATTAATGAGTTCCCTCTCAAGACTCAATTGGAAGATAGGTTAGCTCAGTAAGGGAAGAGATTAAGTTTCTTTCGGTGTTTGTCGTCATTTTATAAAGGAACATAAAATCATCTGTAAACTGTCAATGTAATGTTAAAATGCATTTATTTTAAAGATATGTTTATATAATACTAACATCTTTTGCTTTTGTGTTTAGATACTGGTTCAGAAACATTTAATGTAGCAGCACCTTCCAATGATTCAGCGAAAGTACCTTTTGACATTGGTAGGTAAAATATTTAGTGAACATTAATAATGGCTAATATTCATTTTTGTGACAAGTTTTAAGAACACAAGAAATAGGATCATATTCAGTTTGTGAAGTCTGCCTCACCATTCAGGTAGATCACGACTGTTCTTCTATCTCAATGCCATTTTCCTGCACTATCTCTGTATTTCATGATATTGCTAATATATGGAAATCTATTGATCTCAGCCTTGAATATAGACAATGACTGAGCCTCCCTACCAGGAGAATTCCAAAGATGCATTTTTCTCCAAGTGAAGAAATTCCTTTTCATCTCAGTCTTAAATAGCCCTGGCTCTTATTTTGAGACTTTGTCCCCTTGTTCTAGGCACCTCAGCCAAGGGAAACATCCTTTCTGCATTCACCCTGTCAGAGTCATAAAGTAATTCAGCATCCAAACAGGCTGTTCAGCCCAAACTGGTCCATACTGACCATGGTGCCCACTCAGCTAGTTCCAATTGCCCACATTTGGTCCATATCCTCGAAACCCTTCACTACAGGCCTACTAGTCCTGGCAACATCCTTGTAAGTCTTCTTTGAATACTTTCCAATTTAACTGCATCTTTCCTATAACAGGGTGACCAAAACTGTACACAATACTTCAAGGGCGGCCTCACCAATGACTTATACAACTGTAACATTACATTCCAACTCCTTTACTCAATGCCTTGACCAACGAAGACCAGCATGCTAAGTGCCTTCTTGACCATCCTGTCCATCTGTAATGCCGATTCAATGAACTTTGTACTTGCTTTCCTCGGTCCCTCTGTTCCACAACACTCCTCAGGACCTTTTATTTTACTGTATAAGTCCTATCTTGGTTTGACTTTCCAAAGTGCAACACGTCACACTTATCTGTATTGAATTGCATTTGCCAAACCTCAGCCCACTTCCCAGCTGATCAAGATCCCTCTGTAATCTTTGATAAACTTCCTCGCTATCAACGATACCTCCAAATTTTGCACCATCTGCAAATTTGCTAATCATGCCTTCTACATTCACATCCAGATCATTTATGTAAATAACAAAAGGTCCCAGCACCGAACCCTATGACACACCACTAGTCACAGGCCTCCAGTCCGAGAAACAGCATTTAACCATCACCCTCTGCTTCCTACCATCAAGCCAGTTTTGAATCTAATTAGCTAGCTCTCCTTGGATCCCATGCAACCTAAATTTCACGACTAGCCTATTGTGTGGGACCTTATCAAAGGCCTTACTAAAGTCCATTTAGACAACATCCACTGCACTACCGTCATCCATCCTCTTGGTTACCTCTTCAAAAATCTCTAAAAGATTTGTCAGACACGACTTCCCGTGCACAAATCCATGCTGACTATCCCTAATCAGACCTTGACTATCCAAATGCTGATTGGTCCTGTCCCTCAGGATCATCCCTAATAACTTGCCTACCACTGATGTCAGGCTCACTGACCTGTAGTTCCTTGGCTTGTCTTTGGTACCTTCCTTAAACAATGCAACAACGTTAGCCACCCTCCAGTCTTTCAGAACTTCACCAGCGCCTAAACATGACGCAAAAATCTCTGCAAGGGCCTCTGCAGTTTCTTCCCTAGCCTCCCACAATGTCTGAGGATGGACTTGATCAGGCTCAGGGGATTTATCCACCTTAATGCACTTTAAGGCTGCAAACAACTCCTCTCTGGTAACATGTATGTGGTCCAAAACATCTCCAATTGTATCCCTTATTTCCTTAGCATCCATAATTCTCTCCTCAGTAAATATTCATTAAAAATCTTCCCCATCTCCTGTGGCCACACACATAGATGGGCATGCTGATCTTTAAGGGGACCTGTTCTCTTCCTAGCCACCCTTTTATTCTTAATATAGCCAAAGAACCTCTTGGGATTATCTTTAACCTTATCTGCCAGATCCATCCCATACCCTCTTTTTGCTCTTGTGATTTCCCTCTTAAGTGTGCTCCTATACTTTTCAAGACATCTAGGGATTCACTTGAGCCTGATAGCTTAAACCCAACGTATGCCTTCTTCTTTTTCATGACCAAAGCCTTAATATCCCTCGTCAGCCAGGGATCCCTAAACCTGCCAGCTTTTCCCTTCACTGTAAAAGGGACATATTTTCCCTGGATTCTTGACATCACACTTTTAAAAGCCTCCCATTTGCCTGTCATTCCTTTTCCTTCAAACAGACTCACATAAATCAACCTCTGCTAGATCCTGCCTAATGGCCCCACAATTGGCCCTGCTCCAGTTTAGCACCTTAACCTGTGGACCTATCTTTTCCCATAACTATGTTAAAATTAAGAGAGTTATGGTCACTGGACCCAAAGTGCTCACTGACTGACATTTCACTCACTTGCCCGATCTCGTTTCCTAAGAGGAGGTCCAGTGTTGCATCCTCCCAAGTAGGACCCTCTATATATTGATTTAAGAAACTTTGTTGGACACATTTGACAAATTCCACCCCATCCAGGCCTTTTACACTCTGGGTGACCCAGTCAATGAGGGAAAATCAAAATCTCCAACCAATACTACTCTATTATTCCTACATATATCTGCAATCTCTACACATCAGCTACTCTAGTATCCACTGGCTTTTGGGGGTCGAAAATACATGCCCTTCTTGTTTCTAAGTTCTAACCACATGGCCTCATTTGGTCACCCTTAAGGATATCCTGTCTAAGTACTGTTGTTATTTCCTCCCTTGTCAAAAGGCAAGTCCCCCATCTCGCATACTTGTACTTCCGGTCACGCCTGTAGCGTCTGTATCCTGGAACATTGAGCTACCAGATCTGCCCTTCTTTCAGCCATGTTTCTGTTATGGCTATAATATCCCGGTCCCCAGAGCCAATCCATGTCTGAGCTCATCTACCTTAACAGTCAGGCCTCATGCTTTGAAATAAATGCACTTTAAACCAGAACTCTCTTCCCTCCTTTTACTGTGCCCCTTGCTATCCTGCATAGTAAACCCGCTCCTGATGGCTAATTAATTTTCCCCTGATTTCTCTGACCCCTCTCTTAGTCAGAGTCCCTCCTGCCAAACTAGTTTAAAAACTAGTTCTGAGGAAGGGTCACCAGCCCCGAAATGTTAACTCTGATATTTTTCTTCACAGATACTGCGAGACCTGCTGAGCTTTTTCAGCAACTTCTGTTTTTGTTCCTAGTTTAAATCCTCCCAGGTAACACCAGTAAATCTCCCCACGAGGATATTGGGCCCCCAATGGTTCAAGTGCAACCCATCCCTCTTGTACAGGTCACCGCTACCTCAGAAGAGATGCCAATGATCCAAGAACTGAAAACCCTGCGCCCTACACCAACTCCTCAGCCACACGTTCATCTGGCCTATCTTTCTATTTCTATCCTATCTGGTGCGTGGCACTGGGAGTAATCCGGAGATCACTACCCTTGAGGCCCTGCTTTTTAACTTCTTACCTAACTCCCTAAACTCATTTCACAGGACCCCATCCCTTTGTCTACCTATGTCATTTGTACCAACGTGCACAATGACCTCTGGCTGTTCACCCTCCCCCTTCAGAATGTTCTGGAACTGCTCAGAGATATCCTGGACCCTGGAAGCCGGGAGGCAATACACCATCCTAGTGTCTCTTCTGCAGCCACAGAATCTCCTGTCTGTCCCCCTCACAAGCGAGTCTTCATCCCCTTCTCTCGCTCTGTCTGACTGCACCCTTTCCCTCTGGGCCTCAAAGCCAGTCACAGTGCCACTTAGCTGACTGCTACTACTCGCCCCTGAAAGGATGTCCCGCCAACGTATCCAAAACGGTTTACCTGTTATTGAGGGGACTGGCCATAGGCGAGTAACCACTTCACCATAGCTCTTATCAATGATGTTCTCTGCACTGTGGGTGATCCTGAGTGTATCCAGCTCCAGTTCCAAAACATGGTCTGTCAGGAGCTGCAGCTGGGTGCACTTCTCGCAGGTGTAGCCACCAGGGACACTGGAAGTCTCCCTGATCTCTCACAACCTGCTAGAGGAGCATGCCTCTGCCCTAACTGCCATCCCTACTGCCTTCAGTTTAGACAGAGAGAAAGTAGAGTTAAAGAGCCCTTACCTGCTCTTACCTGTACCCCTGCTCAGCCTTCTCATACCAAAACCTCTGGAGCAAAGGCTTCAGCACTTCCACCCTGACACTGGCCCACTCTCTTAATTGCTGCTCTTTTGTACACCTTTACCTTGCCGGTCGACTTCCTCACAGAACCTCTTTTTGTTTTGGTCAGAGGAATGAAACACCAATGCAATGTTTCAGATTTAATCACACCTTGACACCAAGCTCTCTCTGACTTGCTGTACGGTCTGATGACAGTGGTGATATCTTCCAGAATTCCACTATGACAGCTATTAGCCACCCTCTAATTCACTGCCCTCCTTCCCCATCTCACAGAGGGTATCTTGAAGGGGTCTCCTGTGCCATCATGATAACTGTGGTGATGTCTCCCAGAATTCCACTGTGATTGCTCTCAAGTACCCTCTGAGTTGCTGACCTTCTTTGCCGTCTCACGGATAGTGTCCTGCGGAGCTTTCCTGTACAGAATTCTGCTGTCTCTCAGAATTCCGCTGTGATGGCTCTCAGGTGCCCTCTGATTCGCTCTCAAGCCATGCAATTTTTTTCTTTAAATATCACCTCTTATTCTCCAAAGAATAAAGGCCCAAGCTACATAATCTTTCCTTGTAGGACAAACCATCCAGGCCAGGAATTAGTTTGGTGAACAAAACAAGAAACAATAAGAATGTCTTTCAAGTTTCTATAGGGTGTCCATGTTTAATAATAGTGAAAAACAGAAGACAATGGTTGAAATGAACAACTGCTGCAGCAAATTGTGAAAGTGTGCTTGCTTGAATTTACTAAAAGAATCCAATCCAAGCTTGAAATTAAACAATGCATATTATTTATTGCATAATATTCTGATTTTTAACAAGTAATGAAGTGTTTTATTAGCAAGGAGCATGTAACAATTAATTCAGTTCAAAAATTTAATTCCATT